ATCCCAAGCCCCAGCTCGGATCCAAATCTCTGTCCAGCGCCTTAAGATGTCCTCCCGACTCTCCAAGGAGAGAGTGCACTTTCCATTCCAATACATAGGGAATTTCCATGTGTTGGTGGATTGTGTGGAATTTTGGTTTGGATACTCTTAAGCATGATGATAGTTTCCACAACCGACTCACCAAAAAATAAATCAACTTGTATTTATATAGCACGCTCACTCAGTCTTGGAGCCCTGTATTTGAACTCAGGATAAGATGGAAGGAGTTATAGAGAGAAGAGGGGTTGGAGAATGTTATTTAATGTTCCTTAATAATCCTTGTTTGATACATCACATTATCATGTCATCAAAACTTCACCCTGTAAAGTGATGTGTCTGTGTGCATTTGTGGGCGAACAGTCCAGCCAGTTTGCACACAGCGATGTCCCACTAACAGCCGTGAGGTGAGTGAACAATTTTCTTTGGGGGATTTGTTGGCCAGGGCACCGGGAGACACTCCCTTTTCTTTTTGACTAGGACCATGAGATCTTTAACATCTACCTGAACATGCAGACAGGGCCCCAGCTTAATGTCTCATTTATAGGACAGTACTTCCAACAATGCAACGGCCCCCCAGCCTTGGTATATGAATGTAAAGTTCCAACCTGTGGCTTGAACTGTTCTCAAAAATACACTACGGCATTGATAAGAGTTCTCAGGAGACTAGATGTAACACAGTGTGCGGCTAAAGAAATTCTTTTTATGTCAGATTTCTTTTTGGTCAGCTGAGTGTCTGACACATGCGGAAACCCATCACCATATTAAGAGTATCCAAACCAACCTGAGAATTTCACGCATCCCACCTACACATGGAAATCCCAGAGATAGGTTGTTGGAATGGAATGCTCTCTCTCCCTGGAGGGACCATCCTGTTTACCTAATTCTGTAAAGTATTAGTTGCAGGTTGGCAAGAGCCAAGGCTTGGGGACCCCAGGTTGTGTGTTGGGGTAACTGCTGGAGTATAACCAGCTCAAACGGCACAGCTTGCCATTGATATTGCTGTCTGGAAAGCTTTCCCGCTGCTTGTCCAGCTAAGACCGTTAGGATTTTGACTTATAAGGTTAACAGGTGGCTGAGTGGGAGGATTCCCTGCTTCCACCAGATATGTAATGCAGCATTACAGAGATATATGTTACTGTATTTGTGATTAACATTAGAATAATACAAACATGATTGTCCAAATTGAAGTGGCACAACTCCAGGTGTGATGTGTATTAATACATCACAACAAATTCAAACATCTGTTGTCAATGTCCCACAGTAACAAAACATATAGCCACAAATATTAATTCCAAAGTTTAAGAACGGCATAGAAAAAAAGCTACACAAATATTCTGATAGCATATTACACCATTTGTAGAAATGAATTAGAGTGCTGTACTGGGCCCTCTGATTAAAAAAAAACACAACGGTTTCATGTGCATTGAATTTCTACTAAATATCTTCTCAAATAGCCAAAGATGAATTCATTGATTTGTCAAATTTTTGATGCTCATAAAAGCTACCTTAATAGAGTGAATCTAGACCACGGTGGAATTTCTCCCCTATAAATGTCCTTTCTCCAAGAAAAATTTTTAACCGCAGACATTTGAAATTGAACTGGCTGGCTTGAGAGTAGGGATGTATAAATTCTGGGCAAAGTGAGGAAGCAACTGTCTGTGACCTCCTTAACTTCCCTGGCCTCTCTTTCAAACTCACCAAATCAACCTTGGCTTCCAGTGGTGATCCTCAGCTCTCCTTTGTCCTTTGTCCCTCATATCCAGTTCCTGACCAAGATTGTTTTTCTTCGTGGAGTCCTGTAGCTCAGTGGTTAGAGCACTCGCTTTGCAAGTGAGAGATCCGAGTTCAATTCCAGGCAGGGCGAAACCTTGGGCAAGTTTCCTTACTCCACACGCCTAATAATAATCCCTCCAAAAAACAAAAACAATAATTAAATTGGCCATTTTCAATCTACGACTGTTTGTGGGACATTGCTGTGCGCAATTGGCTGCCGCGTTCGCCCACAAATATACAGTCAATTCACTTTACAGTGTGTTCTGTGAAGCGCTTTGGGACGTCCTCCCGACGTGAAAAGCGCTATATCAAATGCAAGGATTATTATTATTATTATTATTATTCACCTGTGCCACATCACCAGCCTCTGCTCCTACCTCATATAAATAACCTTAGCTCTACCACAGGTTTTTCAAATGCACTCCTCGCTGGTCTCCCTCAATCCACCATCCTCAAAAGCTACAATGTGCCTAAAGGCTCCACCAAAATCTGCACACCCATCAACCATAACAACAATGACAACTTGCATTTATGTAGTGCCCTTCACACCGGATGGTGTCTTGGAGCACTTAAATCACCCCAGCTTTGGTCTCCAAGCAGAACAATTTCAAGATCCTCATCCTTATGTCTTAGCACTTCCCTATCTCTCTGATCTCCTCTGAATCCCCCTCTGCTTAGCTAACGAGGGTTTGCTGTAAAACACCCAGCAATCTCAATGTTACTATCAATGGAGCCTTCAGATTCTACCCCTCACCCATGGAACTCCCTCCCTCTAACCCTCCATCTCACTCCATCTCTTTGTCTTTAAATCGTACCTTAATGGCTCCCAATCACCGAATGGATCAA